AAATCTAAATGGAGAATTTTCAGAATAAAAGATGCGAGTATGAGGTAAATTATAATTAAAGTGGATATAATTAATATGGAGATATCTCCCGGGAAGTGCGTTGTTACACAAGTAATTCGTGTAATTGGAGATGTAAAACACGCTCATCGATTATTTGCGAATCGATAAGGCATAAACGATTCAATCGTCCCTAGTACGATTCTCGTGAAATTTAATATCGGAATTTCCGTCGAGATTCATTAACGCTTTAGCAAGTAATTAACAATTTGCGTGAGAGTTTTATTACATATTGTTAAAAGTAACAATTATTTCATCAAACATACGTTCACGCATCCGTGAAATCCTTTTTTATCGCGTTAATCCACGTGCGATATTAAAAGAAGCAATATCGTGTAAAATATGCTATTAACGTAATAAACGTTATTTCATTTGACAATTAACCTAGCTCGGAGGGAATGCGACAATAATAATAACAGCTACGCGCCGTTTATTTAATACCCGCACACGCTACATCTCAATTTACGTTTACATTGGACGCGTTAGTTAAGTAAAATTTAGAACCAGATAGTCATGCGCGATGATGCTACCATATGCCAATGTCAATTTAGATTCAAGCAATCTCAATAATCAATATAAAGCGGCTTTAATATTAGAATCGATTCGGCATCGACGTCTGGTCTGTGACGGTTTTTACTACTGCATCCGAATATCCGAATTTCCCTCGTGTGTATTATTTCACTCGTTATGTTTACACGAATATGTTTAATAACGTCGCATAAAAGCTATTTTTTACGTTCAAATAATCCGCGCTGCGTTCTCAGATTACTAATCGGCTGATAAACGTCTGAGGTACACGCGGTAATATTAAAAATTATTTCTTTTATATCATCAAAATATGATCTTTTTTCAACAGAAAAATATCCCTTATCTTTTTTGAATCTCTAAAAAATGTGATCCTTATCAATATTCTTATTTTTTAATAATCCTGTGAACAAATGCAGAAAAAATTATAGCGCATTTTATATTTATGTTCTCGCAATGATATTAATTCAATTTACAACGCGAAACAAAGGATACATTAAAAATAGGGGTTGCACAAGACCCAAGACAATATTCGTAAAAATATTGTATTGGTATTGAAAATTTTGAAAAATTTAAATCTTTTCTTGGTCTTGAGTGAATATTGGTAGCATAAATCTCGTCTTATTGTCTTGTCTCGATTTTATTAATAATTTTTTATCTAATATTAAAAAATTATTTAAATAATATTTAACATAATTTTTGTAATATAATTTGAAATAATTATTACTAGTGTATTATATTTTAATTATAATTATGTAATCAATATATTATTACTATGTAATCAATATAAATGCCATCTATTTACATAAAAAAACATTTACTGTTTCATGAAAACAGAAATTAATAATTATTTACAGGCTCTAAGGAAATGTGCAGATTTAAATATTTTGGAGTGGTAAAAAATTCAGGTTCATATTTATCTCACATTGTCAAAAATGACTCGAGACATTTTAAGTTCAACTGCCTCCGTCCATGTCAGTAGAAAGATTTTTCTCAATAGGAACTCTGACTATGTCAAAACATAGAAAACCACAGATTACAAAGTAAATCTTTAAAAGCACTAATGTGCATCAATTCCTGGGTGAAATGCTCTTTAATGTCTAAAATTTGCGAGTTTGATTTCTAATTTATAAAAATGTTATATTGTATTACAATAATATTAAATATTTTTAAATTTATTAATATAAATGTTTTTATTGAATAAAATTTTTTTAAATTCGTATATAGTAATTTTTTTCATTTACAAATATAAATCATTTCATTTACAAATATTTTAGTTTTTTTGAGAACCAATAATCTTGACAAGACTAATAATCTTGACAGTCTTAGTCTTGGTATTGAAATTCAAGAAAAGACAAGACAATATCAAGACTAATCTTGGGGTATCTCGTGCAACCCTAATTAAAAATAAATTTTAAAAAATGTTTTACAAAAATCTTATTTTTATAATTCTTAATCTTTCCGCGAATGTGTTATAATTTTTTTTATACAGAAGACAAATCAATCTTGCGTCGCAAGTCATTCAGAAGTGACTTAACGAATCGTCCGTTTTAAGCGACATAAAATCGATATGTCAATCTTTGGGATTTATTGACAGTGACATTATCAGCGGTGATCTTCCGTAAGAGCAGACATCGTCTTTACGAGAAGATTCATTAGTCCACATGATCGTGGATCAATCAACTTTGATGATTCATTCCAGCTGATTTTCCGCCTCTCGAATGTTTATAATATCGAGTACCAACGTGATATATTTCTGCGAAAAGAGATGACGCCGAGGATGATCCTTCATCCGTGATTCGCGAGATTTTCATTTAAATTCGTCAAATTAAAAAAGCACTTTTATATATATCTCGCAAAAAAACTCATGCTAAAATATCCCTGTGTATCTCTAAAACGCGTGGTTGCAAAACGTATCCATATTTTATCGAATGTGTTTTCACGTCGAATGCAATTTTATTCAAGAAATACCGATGCGTGAATCCATTTGAATTGAAAAAATTTTCATCACAGAGATGCGTAGAATCAAATACATATTCGTGTTAAATATTCACAAATCTAGGAGAAAAAAATAGAGAAATCCAGCAACTGTTTGCGCGCCGAGATTTCACGTGTCGAGTTGCTAGCCATTGTTATCCCTTTTATGGCCTTAAAACGAGATCGATGCTTCATAAATTCCCGACGCGATCGATCTTTGCGATATTTCTCGACATATATATATATATATATATATATATATATATATATATATATATACGCGATATAATCGATAATTTATTCCAACTGAATTGTTTATCCCTAATTCTCCGGTATAATGATTCCTCGCAAATTCTCCATTATTTTCTACATCACTACGTAATTAATTTTGCGCGCCGCATCCTTTGATCTTCGACGTTCAATATGCAAATTAAGCCACCAATGTGGACGCTTTATTGACTATGAACCTCAATAAATGGGATATTTCGATAGCGATTGCAATATGGCTTTGTCGTCATCATGGTTTATCCACATCTCTCGTTCATTTTATAATAAATAAACTGCAACGGCTATATATTTAAATAAATATTAACTCGTTGCACATTTACAAACTCTTCGCGAGCAAGGGATCAATAATTAATAATTAATTTAATTATACAACTTCTCATTAATTGCTAATTAATTTAATCGTTACAGCACCTCCTTTAAAATTTCGATCAACCGTGAAAGTACGAGTATAACTAATAATTAATATTAATCAAATTATTAGCAGTATTACGTCACGCTTTGATCGAAACTTCTTCAACTACACGAAAGGAGTACGACATGAGTGACATTATACAGGGTGTCCCGGACTTAACGAATCAGCCGTTAATAGCAGATTCCTGAGATCATTTAGAGACGAAAATTCTAATACCAAAATGTTGAGGAAGACTTCATAAAAATGTTCAAACTACCGACTTGTCGCATCGAAGACACCTATTTCGCTGCAGAACCCTATTTTTTATTTTATATTGATCCCTCTATCGATATCGATATTATCGCGCTGGCCCTTTGGAGAACATGAGGCGCCGATTGGTGATCTTTAATCTTTCGTAGCGCCGAAACTACATCTTCCTCAACATTTTGGTATTAAGGTTTTCGTTTCCAAATGATCTCAGGAATCTACCATTGACGACTGATTCGTTAAGTCTGGGACACCCTGTATACGGCAACGAAACCATCAAAGTCTCGTGAATAACTCTTCCCCCTCTCCCTCCTCCCCTCGATTAATCAATCTTCGAGGACAGATCGCGTTTTTGCTATCTACGCTGCGCATCGACATCGCTTTATCACGAATGACACAAGGAAGTCGGCGAACTCGTATTATATTCCCCGGAGTCGGGTCAAAACCGTCGTTGTACGACAATGTTACTGGAAACGGCGGGCATATTGCTGCTTAATAGATAGGATTATCGCAGCCGCTTAATCATCGCGGCCGCTGATGGCCGCTCGTCCGGCCTATTGGCATTTCGATCGAACATCTCGCGCAAAAGCACTCATCGCGGAGCCTGCTCACGTAATATCGACGTTAGGTATTACATGAGGATGCCCACGTCGATTCACGAAGGATAAAGCGGATAAGAGCCAACTTGTCCCCTCGCGAAAAGAGAGAAATTGTCGGATTTCCTATCCTTCTCATTCATTTGTTTTCTTCTTTCGTTATATATTTCATTTATTATTTATATATTATATCTTATACAAAGTAGAGAAATAATTAAGTGATATAATTAAGAAGGAAATCACTTCTCTTGCAAGAATAAAATAGGGAATGCAATTTTTCTTCTCTGTAAGGCTTTTTTCATTTTCGAGAAATTGATTTTGAAAATTAATATTCTATATTCATACACAATTTTTTAAGCTTGAATAATCTCTAAAAATACAACAATCCTTAAAAAGTGTAATTTTTGATATTTTATACATTTTATTTTGATATTTTATACATAATTTTTTCAATAATTTAAAAATAAGTATAAATGGCTTTATTAAATAAAACATATTGTATATTATTATTTATATATTAAAAAATAATTACTATTAAGATGAATTAAATTATAAGATCAAGATAAATTAAAAAATAATTGCTATTAAGATGAATTTGGTGATATATGATTCAAAATCGTTAGACATCATTCAAGCTTAAAAAAATGTTAGTGATTATTTTTTTAAATTTAATTTCTCTAAGTTTAATTTCCCAAAAATAGATAAAAATCTCATACAAAAAATTGTCGACTTATTTTTTCAAAAAACTATTTTTTTTACAACGTCTTTCGATTCATTTTGTACAGATGTAAGAGTTTGTCACATGTCGTTCGCACTAAATAAAAACCGAGATAAAAATGAATCGATGCTTGCAATCTGTCATCCACAATCTTACATCGAAATGATATTGATTGACTCACCAAATATTGAGGAACTTCTCCCGAACTTTCCGCTTCATGCTGTCACTCTTTCGGCGATATTGCAATCTGCGGCAAGAATCCATATAGACGTCCGGAAGTTGCTTGTAAAGACCTGCGGAAGACAGCGATTTCCAGATTAAGCTCCTGAGAACTTTCACGTCTCGCTGTAAGAAGCTTGCGACGCAATCGTAAAGAAATATCGAGCCCGGGAAATGTCCATTTTCTCCGAAAACTAACTTTACGTCGCGCCATAGCATTTTATAAAGAGAATTTCACGCACTGTGAAAGTTACCTTTAGGGTTGCACGAGATACCAAGATTAGTCTTGATATTGTCTTGTCTTGTTTTGAATTTCAAGACAAGATCAAGACAAGATTTTTAATCAGTTATCAAGACAATACCAAGACTAAGACTGTCAAGATTATTAGTCTTGTCAAGATTATTGATTCTCAAAAAAACTAAAATATTTATATTTGTAAACGAAAAAAAAAATTATTATATACGAATTTAAAAAAATTTTATTCAATTAAAACATTTACATTAATAAATTTAAAAACATTTAATATTAATACAATATAACATTTTTATAAATTAGAAATCAAACTCGCAAATTTTAGACATTAAAGAGCATTTCCCCCAGGAATTGATGCACATTAGTGCTTTTAAAGATTTATTTTGTAATCTGGTTCTATTTTCTGACATAGTCAGAGTTCCTATTGAGAAAAATCTTTCTACTGGCACGGACGAGGCAGTTAAACTTAAAATGTCTCGAGCCATTTTTGACAATGTGGGGTAAATATGAACCTGATTTTTTTATCACTCCAAAATATTTATATCTGCACATTCCTTGGAGTCTGTAAATAGTTAATTTCTGTTTTTCATGAAACAATAAATGTTTTTTTATGTAAATAGACGACATTTATATCGATTACATAGTAATAATTATAATTAAAATATAATACAATAGTAATAATTATTTCAAATTATATTACAAAAATTATGTTAAATATTATTTAAATAATTTTTTAATATTAGATAAAAAATTGTTAATAAACTCGAGATAAGACAATACAAGACGAGATTTTTGCTACCAATATTCACTCAAGACCAAGACAAGATTTAAATTTTTGAAAATTTTTAATACTAATACAATATTTTTACGAATATTGTCTTGTCTTGGGTCTTGTGCAACCCTAGTTACCTTGTATATGTCTCAACTTTATGCACGCGCGCTAGCCTTTTTCACTCCAGAAAATTTTCTATTTTTTTTAGCAAAAATGTTGCAGCGAATCAAAAAAAAAAATGCACAATAAAAGCGCGAAATTTCGACGATATAAAAAAATGCCGCGATTAATTTCGAATCAAGGTGATATTGAAAGGCCGAAATTAATGTGATCGTCAAGTTTTCCTCCACGCGCGGAGAACCACCCCACATATGAGCTCGGTCAGAAGCTGAAGATACCTGAAATAGCTGGAACGGTTTCCTGCATGGACAAATATTTATTCAGCGGCACGATCCTCGCATACCGCTATTTATTCGTTCGTATATCTGTCACCGGCCTTCGAGCGGCCGGCCCCATAAAACTTTTCGCGGAACTTTTATATTTGACCGAGATGACCGAGACGATTCCATTGCATTTTGACGTAGATCTCGAATTCATATCAAATGTTAGGAAAATGTGCGGAAAGGGAAATCTCGAGGGAAAAATTTTTGCGGCGAAAAATTTTATTGCGGCGATTACATCGAAAGGAACATCTCGATATTAATCCTCAAATACTGATGATCAATCGAAAGTTGGAAATTTATCCAAACATTGGAAAAAACACAACTCGTTTTAATTTAATTCCTTCCTGATCCTGATCACGTTGTATTGTGTTTTCTATTTCTCTATTTATTTTATTTTATTTAATATTATTCGTATTATTAAAGCTTTCTGAATGTATTGATAAAATCGTATTTCGATACTAATTTGATAACCGCAATTATTGCTCGATCGTATTTAATTCACTATTGAATTTAGGATTATTCATATATATTTAATTCGAATCGCGATAACTTTTTCAACTTCCGCTAATAGGATTACCGAGTTGCACGTGACAATCGAAATTTCAAGTGTTTTCATATTTAATGTTGTCGAAAGCGAAGGATTTGCGATTTAAATTACATTAAATAAAAATATTCGCATGTTTTTAATTTTAATGTCTTTAAGAGCTTCGCTCAAATATAAAAATGTGTTAATTATTGCCGAGAATAAAACACGAAAATATAATTAATTATTGCCGAGAAGCGTAAATAAAAGAAACCTAAAGAAGTAAACACATAGTTTAGCTTTTAGAGGAATTACCGTTGGGAAAAACTACTTAAATTAATGAAAACGCAAGTTCACTACTCTTTTTCTCTCTCTCTCTCTCTCTCTCTCTCTCTCTCTCTCTCTCTCTCTCTCTCTCATACAAACTTTTTAAAGCAAAAACATTATTTTAGCATTTTTAATAAATACTCGAGATGTTATGATGCCAAATATAAAACTACGAACTTAAATGCGTATCTAATGAATTAAAAACGTAAGGAAAATATAACGAGAAAAAAAAAGTTAGTTCGAAGGTAAAACATTCGAGGAAAAGAGATCGATTTTGCGCGCCATTCAAACATATTTATCTTCAATTTCATTTCGCTTCGACTCTGCGCAATGTCATCAAGATTCTTTGTATTCGTATGGAATAGAAACAATGGCACTTTTTCCGTTTCGATATCGGTCTAGTATCATCACAATGGCCCTCGAATTGAATGTGCTCGAAAAGAATGTTATAAATCAATTTTAACAGTCGCGTGTACTTTGCTGTATTATGATAATGGACCTAAAGAGAGATTTGGAAAGAGAGCGAGAGAGAGAGAGAAGCTATTATTATGCGTATAATCATCGACAAATAATGATGGCATCGACCAGAGAGCGCGTTTCATTTCGCTAATGTTCGCTATTTATGTCAAAAGTAAAATTGATATTAACGCGAATTTCCGTTTCGCTGAATTATTTCATTTATTTCGATACTGCCGCGGAATCCGATTATAAAATCGAGTTTCAACAAAACGATATCTGTATCGTGCCAAGTTTTGTCATTTCTTAAATCAATCAGCTCGTCGAAAGAATCATTTTTATTATATTATAAAAAATTCTATAAAGAAAAAGTTGAAAGTAAATATATATTTTAAAAATACATTTTTAAATAAAAATAAATATATTAATTTTAAATTAATTTTAAATTAATTTTTTTAAATAAAAATAAATATATTGCATCGATCTTTGAAATATCTCTCGTTAAAACCACGGCAAACGCTTTCAATTGAAACCACATTTTCACATCAAGATTATTTAGTAAAATCACTGAATCTCTAAAGTAAATCAGAAATAATTAGTAAAGTTGTCGATGCGGAATGTTTGAAAATAGGTCGTCCGAAATTTATATGACAGAGACGCTTTGTATTTAAATATACGAGTACTTACTGAGCCAGTTCAGCTGATCGTTGTTCTCCAATTTGTTCTTGAAACTGTCCACTTGGCGTTTCAATTCTCGCAAAGCGAGGGAGGGTGTGGCGTATAAAGCTTCCTGATGCTCTCGTAGTTGCCTCTCTAGAGCCGCCACGCGCCTCTCCAGGGCCCAAAGCACCTCCGCTTCGATCACCGCCGAGGAAGCGGGATGCGCGCCAACGATCTTGAAAAAAAAGAAGCGCAACCAGCTGTCATAAACGCGTAAAATGCATATTACATACGTGTATCGTGCACCCAAAATATTGATATCTCGTTCTTGCAATCTGATCGAACTGTATAAATTAACTCACTCATCCTTTCGCCCATCAATCTGTATTTATAATCATACACAATTCGCGATAATTTTTTTATCTACGATTTTGCTGATATATTATTAAAAAATATAAATTATTTAAAAATATAAGATGAAAGATTGAAATAAAATTAAATTAATTTTTATTAATTCATATAGAAATTTCAAACATGAAATTAGTTGAAATTTTAATTTTATAAAATTAGAAATGAGAATTTTTTCATAATTCGGTCATTTTAATTGTTTAATTAATTTATTATATTAATTTTAATTATTTTAATTGTATGAATTATTATTTAAATATTCTTATTATATGAATCGACATTATAATTTTTATTCAGAAGTAACAAGAGAATTTTATAAACGCGCGTCGAACGCAATTTTAAAACACTTTTGAGATTTTCTCAGTTTAACAAGCAGAGATTGATGTGCTCATAAATATGTAAAGGATTGTATTTAGATAAGAGGCAACTTAAGAGAGAGATAATCAAAGCTTCACCAAAGTTTCGCGATATAAACTCGTGATGCATTTTGCCGACAATATTGATTCACACGCGCGATGAAGCTAATTATGACAATGCTAGGCAGACTAAACATTTCATTATCCGAAAGTAAAACGCATTATACTCGCTTTTAAGCACGTGCTTCTTGACGTATATGATTATTTCAGTAAAAATTGGACGCTATGAGAAAAAAACACGAATAAGAATTCACATGTCGAGCGAATTTTCGAACGAATATAACAAGAAATTCTTTCATATGTAACTTTCAGAAATCACACAAATCATTTATTAAAAGCTGTTAAAGTATTTCCGCAAAAATTATTACCGATTCAATGATTAATTCAATGATTAAAAATAGCCACTTGATATGAACGAGTGTAAAATTCACAATTTAATATATTTAGTGCACCACAAAATTAAACAAACACGCAAGATAAGATACGCGATATTCAACGCATTTCGAGTCGTAAAAATTTTCATACGTACGTCTTTTATTTTTCGACCGTCCAAGTAAAACAATAAGTGTCCTAGCAACTCACTATCCATTTGACTATCGTCGCATTGATACGCAGAAACTATTTATGAATTATACTGCGTTTAGAGATCCTCTAATAAGAGAGTGGCCATCAGATAGAGTGAGCGCACATCTACGCAAAGACTCTAGATTTCAGATCTGTCATATCTTTATGAGGTTTATATCAAATTAATTTAAAAAATTTTTCTAAATAATATATATCAAAATAATTTTTTATATTTATTATTTAAATTAAATAAAATTTATCATTATAATTTTATATAATTATAATTATTGTTATTTATAATATTAATTTTCTTAATTTAAATAAAATTTATTATTATAATTTATATAATATTTCTTATATATTTTATCTATAAATAATAGTGATTATTTATAATATATATAAATATATATATATATATATATATATATATATATAATAAATAATTATAATATTTATTATTAATAAATATTTATATTCAATATAATTTATAAAATATAATTTATATTCAAAATAGGATTATTAAAATTTGAATATGAACGGAAGTTGCATAAAAATGGCGGACCAATTATTAGAGGGTCTTTAATTCGTACTAGTCGATTCAAAATAAATTTTACACACAAAGGACGAGGAATATAATTGATTTAAACGTAGCTTACCTGAAGAACGTAGGGCGTATCGGGCGTGTTCGGCGGTAGATGGGTCGAAATGTTGAGGAGTTTGTCTCCCTTGCGAAGCTTTACAATGTCCAGAGGTCCAGCCTCTGCCGCGCTTCTAAAGAGCTCTGTAAACACAAGACCGTAAATTCCCCTCTTCTCCCAAGATTCATTCGCGAACGAGACCCTTCAATTCCCCATCGCTTTTAATGAGCTCGAGAAATACAATACAACATAAAGTAACGGCGTTTCTCTCGCGTATAACGAGACGATCTCATCTCGACCCTCCCCGAGTTATCCTCCGAGCGACCCGGGACACCCTGTGTATTATAAATAAATATTTACGATACCGGTTTACTTTCCGCTATTAATTCTCAGCCCGGTCGCTCTCTTGCAAAGGTGATATTAACTTTATTAAATGCTATACCGGCCGCCTGTCTCCCGATTTACTCGGGCTTCCCGACAACGAGAGCGCTAAAAGTCACCCCTTCCTCCCTTGTCGACGACAAAACTCGCCCATTCGAATAATTCGCGAGCCCTTTCCGGTCTATCGAGCGTTAAGGCATTGCTCGTGAGGGCATTGTATGCATGTTTTATTCATCCCGTGGGGTGCAACGAGAGAGGAGGACGTGTATATTACTGTATTTTATCCCCCCGGTAATTACTATCGACGAAGCAACGCCGTCAGGACGACGACGGTAAATGCGTATCCATCGTCGGAAAGTTTCCGAATCAATTAAACAGCACGAATAGTCGGACCAGGGTGTTAACTATCCCGACGACGGTTCGTTTTAATAAACCCAAGCGAGCCTGGAAATAACAAGCTATGACGCAGATGTGTTATTCTTCGGTTAAGGAGTTATGTCTAGTCATAAAAGTAAAAAAAACAAAATTGATTTTTACGTTTTCACATTTTCTTGAAGTATATCGTATATATTGAAAATATTTCCGAAAAGTCTCAAATTAATCGAATGTAAATTGACGGAGTTGTAAGTGTATGTTTCATGAAGCGCCAGAATGTGTAACTTCGTTTAAACACGACTATAAAGCTTCAGCTCTGATATTTCGAGGGCTATCAAGCGAATATATAAAGAATTAAATAAACAAAAATTATATGGGCCCGGGATAGATAATTCTGTGTAAATTGAAAAATCTGCATTTTATTCAAAAATAAACTCGACACAAATCTTAAACGCGTTTTTCTCGAAATCACTTTTTCAAAGTCGGTGAGCAAGATATTTCGAAAACCATTACATCGATTTACTTGAAATTTTACAGGCTTCTTCTACGATATAGAAACCTAGTAAATGAACGAAGGATTTTGTTTTTTAATGAATACTTTTCCTTAATAAAAAATGAGCAATCTTTAAGTCGAAAAAGAATATCTTAATGTCAAATGGCTGCCATTTTATTCCAAAACAATTTTTCGATTAATCCTTCGTTCATCTACTAGACAATTTCATATATTAATTACAGTTTATCAAATTTTTGATATCAGATGAACTTTGAATAGCACTGCTCATCGCGCAGCATTTTTTAAAAAACAATATCTGGGAGAATAATTATAATTTTTACATCTTTTAATATTTTATTTAAAAAAATATAATAGCATCCTTAATATTTGTATTTTTAAATAAAAATTTAATTGTAAAAAAAAATTATTACACTTTTCAAAAAAAAATTCCCAAACATCATACTTTTCTCGCTCTATTGACTAGACATAACCCCTTAACACGTTTAATTTAAAGTGTATAAATAATACAATTATATTTTCTCCCCTGAATTAAAGAAGAATCTGTAGCAGAATACAGTTTAACAGACATTTAACTTAATTAAAAACATTTTATCGCGTGGAATTAATTTTGCCGCTTTAACGTTATCGAAATAAATCGCTTCTAAATTCGTCGAGACGAATTATACACGACATCGCACACAAATCTCTCAAAATAATCTGCCACACATCCGGAGCAAAGTTTGCATCGCTGCGAAGAATAACACCGCGAAAGCTACGTAAAAATTCATTGAATAAATGATACAATCTGCCCCATTCCTGTCTCTCTTATTTTAGCGCAACTGCAGTAGCTTGAAATATTGAAAAGCGCAGCGAGACTAGAGTATTCGGCTTCAAAATTTAAATAGCCAGCAATTGATCAAGCTAATGAATGAATTTCCGCATTTTATGGGAAAAACGGCGATGAAAAACGTAGGATAAATAGAACGTGGTTATCCTATTCTAATTATCGTGCTAATTACGCGCGACATCAGGCTGATAATTGCGACCGATAATTGCGACCGGTATACGAGGTGTTCCGCAAGAAACGAGCTCTAGAATATGTTCTAGAGAAAAAAAATTCAGATGATATATCGACTACAGATCAATTTGATTCAGTTATCGAGATACGAAGGATCATAATTTAAATTCCTGTCAATAACGCTGAGCCTGACTTATCACTTCCCAGCTTATTTTTACGAGGTTATTTAAAGTTTCGTATATATTAGTGAAAAGCAGACCCGTCAACTGTTAGTTGACAGAACAGTAGAAGCCACAGGTAGTATTCCCATTCTACACACTGAGAAAAATCGTTTGGTTGTACCAACAAGACATATGATTGAAGGCATTTTGATTAAATCAAACAAGAATTTGTAGTTATCATGATAAGACTGGATTTTTGATAACTAGAACTAGGTTTAATAGATTTTACTATAAGGATTTGGTTTGTATTTTCTGGTTGGATTTATAAAATTTCTTGTTTCATTAATTTCTTGCTTGCCGTGACGACAAGCCATTCTTAACTTAACTCGTATTCAATATTTGCCATGAAATGTATATAAAGAACTAGTATTAACATTAAATTCAAAGTATATTTTTTTTCTCTTATGAGCAGTAGTGCCAGAAAAAGAACGCTAGCTCTCTGATTGCATGTGTTTGAGCTGCATCCTCTTCTTGCATCACTGTTTATCAGTTTAATTTCTAACAAATTGAATTTAAAATAATTTATTCAATAATCTGGATTGAATTTATTCAATAATCTTGTTGGAATTCAGAATATTAAACAGACTTTTGAGATTAGATGGAAAAAATTTTAGACGACTTAGTGCTAGTGAGTTTAGTATTATTAACAAGAAAATTTGGTAAATTTAACAAGAAGAAATTAATCAGATTCATCTGATAATTCCTACAAGAATTCTGGTTCGTCCATTTTCCAACAGACGTACTGGTTGAATCTATCAGAATTCTAATTAATGCAACCAGATTTTTTTCTCAGTGCGCGAATTAAAAATTCAGAATTGATAAATTAAAATTTTTTAAATTTAAATTTGTTAGAAAAATAATTTATCACGATATGAAAAAAAATTTTGTAAGAGACTAGCATTTAGAGATTAAAAAATAATCGCAAAATTTATATCCTCAAAGTATTTTCATGGATAAATTTAAAATACTTTATATTTTAAAATTAAATATATTGTTACACATACTATTAAGAATTCCTATAAATTAAATTCAATAAATTTCAAAATATTAGAGCGTGTAATAAATATTATTAAATTAATCATATATTAATTAATCATATATAAATTATGAACAAGAAAATTTGATAAATTTAACAGGAGGAAATTAATCAGATTCATCTGGCAATTCCTACAAGAATACTGGTTCGTCCATTTTCCAACAGACATACTAGTTGAATCTACCAGAATTCTAATTAATGCAACCAGATTTTTTTCTCAGTGCAAGTTTGTCGGTTTCCTCGCGGGACACCCTCTAGAATCGTGGCGTTTTCGCGATGATAGTCGATGTCTGTCGGCGATACCATTCAAATAGCGGCATGGATCGATAATTGATCCTGAATAATGCATCTTAGTGTAGCGACAGAGAAAGAGAGAGGAGGGGAGGGAGAGCAATGGGGGTCAAAAACCCGCACGGTGATGATTTCGATGCAAAATGCATGTCCCGTTCTCGTATGAAAAATGGAAGGACGGCAAAACAACGTCGCGCGGTCATTTATAAAAGAGCTCTCGAGCTTTCTCACTCTCTCCCTCCCTCCCTCTCTCTCTCTCTCTCTTCGGCTCGTCCCCCGGAGAAACTGACGTTTCTCTTTCGCCGGGGATGGAATAAAAATATTCCGAGCGTTCGCCTCCCCCTCTCCCTCTGCGCGGGAAGGAAACGCGGGGGCGCGTGTAACGAAACACGAGGAATCATCGTATTTCACGATTTATCTGCTACCAGGGAGGTTGGTTGAAATGGCACACCTCGCCTGTCACGAATTCGTTCCGTTTTACGTGCGAACTTTACGAGGACGTGGCAAGCACTTTGCGCAATTTTACTGCCGATACAGTCTCGGCAAAAGGAGAAATATCCGCGACGAGGAGCAAGCGTTATCGATTATCCCCCCCCCTCCTCCCATAGATTTTTCCGTTTCCACTTTTAACAACAATCGCTCTATGACTCGTGCACGAGCTCGTCGGCGACTGAAATACAAACGGTACACTATATTCGGTGTCGCTGAAATTTGAATAAAGACTTTTATCCCACGTTCAGATTGCTCATTCCCCCCCGTCGAATGAGCGATTATCATAACGCGATTATAACGACATTTGCATTATTCCGTTCAAGCAAGGCGAATTAGCATTCTGAATTATTTCAATTACTAATTTAATCGAGTAATTGGTTTAATTGTTAATAGCAAATTTTATTCAAGCGATTTATAGATGTTATTTTTTATTTTAAATATAAAAGTTAATTTTTTATAAAAATTAATAATTATTTTTTATATAAAATTAATAATTATTTTTTTATAAAAATTAATAATTATTTTTTATATAGAAAAAGAGATTTTTATATATTCAGTTTATACGGCGAAAAAATTTATTATTTCGCAATTAAAATAAAATAACAATAATGTGTATACAAAATCAATCAACAATAATGTGTATACAAGATCATCGAAAATAATTATTTGAATCTTGTTTATTTATTTAAATATTTATAATTTTATACATATTTTTTTCGCGAAAATGTGCAAACACAAAGGAAATATTTATTTGAGATTTTTTTGCAACAATTGGAAACTATTGAAAGAGAAAAATAATTAAAAAATATATAAAAGAATTCTGATTTAAAGTGATA